CAGGAGGAAAATGGTAATCCAAAATATGAAAAACACAGACTTTTAGAAACAAGTGTTTACTGATGTAAACACTTCCCTGGGCTGGTCAGGGAAGCTCTTGTGGAGACATGAGATCTGAGTGGGACCTTGAGGGGCTGTTATACTTTAGACAAGCAAAAGTAAGAAGGACAACATTCTAGAGAATTGGGGTGGTTTGAACAGAAACCTGGGGGGAGGAAAACCAAATGCATGTTTGGGGACAGTGAAGAAAATAATTTAGCTGGAGCCGAGTTCATCGCCCGGAATAATACATGGATGTTGGGAAGGTAAGTTGGAGAATAGGCTGCAGAACATTAGACTACTAGGTAAGTGTGGACTTTATGGGCCAGGGATTTCCAAACTTTGATTATATACTTCAATTAGTAAACACAATTTTGGTCATGCACTCCCCAAACATGTAATTTATTTATAAATTATATTTCTGTACTCCTGTATTACCCTTATGTACATAATAAAACATACACAAAACCATTTTAAAATGATGAGTTAAAGAGATTCTAATATTTTGTTCCAGCACCTCAAAAAACCATCTTGTGTACTTCGAGTCTCCCCCACATTGGAGACCATCGTCGTGTAGGCAAGAGGGAGACAGGGAGCCCTCACTGAGGAGGGAGCCAATCATGGGAGCCTGAGGCCGGAGGCAGATGGTGGGGAGAAGGATTAAGCAATGGCTACTCTGGGCATGAGGTCAGGGCCCATGCTCAGGTGGTGAAAGAGAAAATGCAAAAAAAAGGGATGATTTTTTTTTTTTTTTTGTGGTATGCAGGCTTCTAACTGTTGTGGCCTCTCCCGTTGCGGAGCACAGGCTCCGGACGCGAGGGCTCAGCGGCCATGGCTCACGGGCCCAGCTGCTCCGCGGCATGTGGGATCTTCCCAGACTGAGGCACGAACCTGTGTCCCCTGCATCGGCAGGCAGACTCTCAACCACTGCGCCACCAGGGAAGCCCCGGGATGATTTTTTAAGGAAAAAAATTTTTAATGGTTATTTGCAGAATGAAGAGGGTATATGGGTCAGTGTGGAGAGGGATGGAGAGGTAGTGAGGAGTGGTCAGGGAGATGGGCTTCGAGAAGTCAATGCAGCGTCCGTGAGAGCACTCAGCTCCCTGCGTGGGACAGGGAAAGATGGCAGGAAAAGGCACGACCTTCAGGAGTTTGACACTAGTACTAAAAATACCAGCTAACTTTTTTTTTTAATTAGTAAGAAACATTAGAAAGAAAAGAAGAAGGTCATATGTGTGAAATTTCATTGGTCTTCTATAAACTAGGATATTTGAAAAGAGAGTTACTGTAATCAAAATTATGATGAGGCAGCTTTCCCTAGAGAGTATCCATCATTTTCAAGTGGAGAAGGGTTTAAAAGCCGCATGGAGGTGAAACACGCAGAACTGCCTCCAGGACCCACACTTACCAGCTTGCTTTTGACCAACTGTTCTATTGCACTGACAAGGTCTGCAGCAGTAGGTACTTCGGTGGAAGCCTGCCGGGCTGCTAGCAAAGAGGAGGACTGCAAGACATTGAGCAGCAAAGGAAAAGCAGATTAGCGGGGCATGAGGAATAGCGATTAGGCAGCAACACAGCAAGTCCAAAGCTTCAGGCAGGCAAGGGAGGCAAAGCTCTCTGTGTAGAGGGAAGAGATGACAGAGGGAGATAGGGGTAGCGTGGGTGTGGGGCAGCGAAGCAGGGGTGGGACCAAGCTCTTTTTAGTCAGACCTCTTGAGGAGCTGAGGGGAGGGGTCACTGAGTTCCCAGGAGGCCAACAGGGAAGGGCTGCACCCACTGACAGCAAGCGGGGAGGGGGCAGACAGGATTCTGGCCACTACAGGGCTGCCCACTGCTGTTCCAGGAAATGAGGGTCAATAAACCCAGCCTCGAGCGTGTCCAAAGGGAAACTGTCCTTACTTCACTTACATGTAGATCTTCAACACAGACTGTCACCACGTGTCAAGCAGAAATGCTAGGAGCAGGGCACTTGGAGACCAGAAACCGCCTCCCCCATTCACACACACACACTCCCTCCCTCTCTCTCTCTCTCTCTCTCTCTCTCTCTCTCTCTCTCACACACACACACACACACACACACACACACACACACTGTCACACACACTCTCTCTCTCTCTCTCTCACACACACACACACACACACGCTCCTCCACAAACACTGCTGTTTCTGGTAAGGCCCCCGAACTGAAACACTAGGGAAGTAATAAAGGGCTTTAGCAGGACTTGTGCATCTCATGGTGGAGCAACCAGGCACTACCCTGTTCACAGTGAAAGGCGGCTCAAGCCCGGGGCCTTCCTCCTTCCCTCACACCAGCAGTAAGGACTGGTCTACCGGACTGTCTGGTCAACGGTTTGGGCATTCCTGCTCACTGAGGGACAGTGTTTTGTTTTGTTTTTTTTTCTTCCTACTCCTACTTGAGAAGAAATTGGGAGAGAAACGGTTAACCCTGTGTAAGCTTTAACCCACCCTGTGCTTCAAAGCAGAGGACAACGGAGTTCCCAGGGCCCAGGATGCGTGGGAGTAGAAAGTTGGACATCCTGGCCAGGCTGTGGCTTCAAGTCTGTCCTTTAAGTTATGGGGGAGAATTTCTAAAAGGAATCTTCTTGTTGTCTAAGCTAAGACTTACTTTAGGTAAGTCTTTGCTTCTGAAATGGGCTAAAAAAAAATCAAATGAATGTAATTAAGAGAGAGCAACACTCTTTTCCTCTCCTGGGGAAAGCAGGAAAGGAACTTAAATCTCTTTGGAAATCCAAGTTATCTACTTTCTGCTCTAGTAATCCTACCTCTGGGAACTTATTCCAAGGACAGAAGTCAAAAGAACAAATGCTGTATGTACCAAGTGATCTGTAGCAGTATTACCCAGAGCAGCAAAAATTGGAAACAATCCAGGATATCCCCAAACAGGCTGGTCAAGCACATTACGATACATCACGTAAGTGAAATACTCCTCAGTTATTAAAATTATAGTTCTGAAGGTAAAATTAATAAGATTTTAGGAAATATTAAACATTATTAATATTTAATTTATAAATATTAAAAATATAAAACAATGAACACATCCTATGCCTAGTATAATTATAAAAATAAAACATACCTGCATATGAACAAATAGAAGCAGACAGAATTAAAGTAACTGCACAACACTAGAATGGGTGAACTTTTAGAAATTCCTTTTACACCGCTGTAAAAATTATTTTAATGAATCCCAACTCCATTTGCTAGAAATTCTGAAGCTCATCCCGCTCCCAAATATTCAAGAAAAACAGACGTTCAGAAACCAAACAGCAGGACTGAGGAGGTTCATGTGTCTAAAAAGGCGCTCATGCCAGCTGCCCTAATCCTGGCTAAGAAAAGGGCTACACAAATGTCTGGGGCTAAGTCCGCATTCTCAGTTAAAAATTATCCAGGAACAACATAACGTCCTTTCCCCAAAACAAACCGTGCTTGAGGGACGTGGAGGGGGAGGGCTCGTGGCCTCTCCTTATCTTATGTAAGCTGGTACTTCCATGCGAAGGCGGTGTGGGGCGGCAGATAATGTGACCCGCGTGCCCTGCTCCCCACACACACTATCACCGTGTCCAGAACATTTGACAATAGGCCTCTGGGAACACAGCAGGTTGGTTCTCGTTCCCACCTCAAGGCGAAGCACAGGCGTTTCTGCCTCTGGGGATCCAGGATGGGCAGCATGCCATGCTTCCTCTACTTCTCTTCCCAACAGTCCAGAGACAGAGCCTTAGGAGGGGCCGTAACTGTGTGCTTCTCATGGGTGAGTCACAGAGGGGGCAGCGACCACATCTGAGTCATGGACCTGTTCCTGGAAAATGTCCCTCTAGCTTAGCACAGAGGAAGACCTCAACTAATGTCTGGGGGCCACCGATCCAAAATGCAAAGCAGAGAGAATTCAAACAAGATCTGGGATATCACCAGAAACACTGAAGCAACTGCATCAGTACTTCCTGGATTGTATCCTGGGTGGCGTTGTGAAGGTTTGCTCCCTGCCCGTGCATGCTGGGCCCACCACCTCGGAAGGGGCTGCTGACTGCAGGGCAGGGCACTGGAGAGCACAGGGAGGCCCCAGGGGGATGGCTAACCACCACCAGCAGCACAAGAAAACGACACTCTGGAAAGCAAATGGGAAGGACAATCAAAAACTGAAACCACAACCTCAGCCTCCAGAGTCCTCCAGGACAGCGACGCTGAGAGAAGCAAGAGAAACACAACGAAGTGACAGCACAGTTAGGAAGGCCAGTGACGGAGCACACAACGAAAGCAGGGACCTACCCGAGCCTCAGCTCAGTACCAGGAAGCACGTTCAACCTGAGCCTCTGCTCCAGAACGATCGGGATGATGACCCTGCACCCAGAGGCTTGGTGGACATTCACATTTCAGACACCAGAGAGCCTCTGCAGGCCAGTGAGCCAAAGAATTTTGCAAATCAAAGAACTGAGGCAACCTGGCATGTTAGGTTTGTCCAACTTTGACAAAACCTCCCCTTAGCAGCATCTCCATCCCTCATGCTTTGTTTGCGCTGGGCTTGACTGGAAGTTACCATGATTTGGATTTTAGAGTTGAGGATGAGGAAAACAATCAACTAACACATCGGTTGAACAACAAAATGATCATGACCTAGAACCACCTTGGATTCCTCTTCGAGACAATAGTTCTTTTCGGGATCTGCTGCTTCCAAGGACAGAGCCATTACCCTTCATCAACAGGACGAGATACCAGGCAGATTTCTGCTTTGAGTATTGTACACCCACCCCTGTACTGCCCAGAAGCAAGTCAGACCTCCAGGGTTGGGGGAGGGGAGCCCTCCCCGACACAGACGGAATCTACGTCACCTCGGATTCATGCGGCATAAGAGATAACAAGGGAGAGAGAGTGTTACTACCCCTGACACACACACAAAACGAAATCACGTGTTTTACACATGGCTCTTCCAAGTGAGAAGGAAGTCCTACCATCTCGTCCTGCGTGGGGTCGTTGTCAAAGATCTTCATAGGCGGAGGGAGGGGTGTGTGTGACTCTTCGTCTGGCTCATCCTCACCCCAACCTTTCTTGCTCTTCTAGAACAAAAGAGCAGCATTAGTCACTGTTTCCTATAGTTAAAGATGCCAGTTGGTTCAGGACTTGGGATTTTTAGAAAAGAAACATATAAGATACCCGCCTCTCTCAACACACTCCTAGTTTTTTCAGTTTCAGGGTCCTCCTGTGTGAATGGGCACACCTGCTTATCTCAAAAGGACAATGAGGTCCAAATGGTGGAAAACACACACACACACACACACACACACACACACACACACACACACACACGAAAAACATCTACTTTATCGATTAGCCAGGAAGAGCGAAAGCTGAGAGAGTGGTTGGAGAGAAACTAACTTTTAAGTTTATGAAGGACTCAAACTACAATCTAAATATCACCAGGCTCTACTGCCATTCAGAGGGAGAAAAGGTAGACAGCATAAAACTACAAAGAGAGTCTGGTTTCACATCAGGAAGAATTTCTTAGCCATGTCAGTGACTAGGGTAGGTTAGTTTGCCAGATAAAAGAATTATCTCATTCCCGAACCAAATACCCACTATATTTTGATCACAGAATCCCAGTTTTGGAAGGGATATAAGAGGTCGTTGCCCAGTCTGACCTCTCAGCCAACACTGGTCTCTCCAACTGTTATGTGAGGTCATACAGTCTCCCAAACCTTTTCAGTATGGGTGTTCATCTGTTTTCACGAAGCCCCATTTCATCACTGGTTGAGCCCCCATTAAAGGCTGCAACCTTGGCTACTGTAAACCTTCACCTGTTAATCATAATTCTGCCTTCTGGAGCAACCAGGAGTTGTCTACTCCATTTTATAAATGCCACTGCTCAACATACTCGAAAACAGCCATAATCTCCCAAGACAGTCTTCTGTTTTCCAGGCCTGGCAGGTTTAATGCGGTCTTTAGTAGAGGCTGGGGACTTGGTGACCAGCTGGCTCCCCGTGGGCCCCGACACGCATCTCCAAATCTGGCAAGATGGTGTCTGTCTGCTGGACACTCTAGGTGCCAGTCTTCAACCAGTCACAAATCAAACTGGCAATGTCTTTTTTTTTTTTTCCTACTGTTTTTAATTTTTTTTTTAAATTGAACTAAACAGATTCATAGACACAGAGAACAGACTTGTGGTTGCCACGGGGAGGAGGGGAGAGAGAAGGATGGACTGGGAGTTTGGGGTTGGTAGATGCAAACTATTACATTTAGAATGGATAAACAACAAGGTCCTACTGTACAGCACAGGGAACTATATTCAAACTGGCAATGTCTTGAGAATACAAAGATCACCTAGGCCCAAGAAGACCAACTACTGGGAACTAGAGTCTGGCTAGTTTACAAACCCCGGGGAAGGATGCCTCTCGAGGCTCCAGGAAGGAGGTACATCAGAAACCCCTCCCGATGGAAGGCTCCGGGGCTTCGAGTAAGTACCTCGTCAGCGCTGTCTCCCTGAGGGGTCGTCTCATCCCCAGGCTTGGGAGATCCCAGGTCGAAGCTCTTCCGACCGTCTCGTACTTTCTTCTGCTTCTTGATGTTTCCGTCTGCCTTCCCGCTGTTGAGCCGCCGCACGGGACTCGTCAGCCACTTCTTCAGGGTGTTGGTGGAGCGCTTGGGCCCAGGGGAACTGTGGATGGAGTTCAGGGAGGGCTGGGCCTGCAGGTTGGCCACCGACTCGGACTTGCCTCCGTTTTCACTTGAATGAGAGTACGCATCTGAGGAAAAAGAATAGACAGACGCGGCGCGTCAGGGGCAGTTAAGGCAGGCTGCCAGCCTGGGAGAAAGACAGCTCCAACCCCAGGAAGCTAGGGCACCAGGCAGAATGTCAAGGCCAGCTGCAGACAGAAGACAAAGACTCCTGCAAAATCAAGATTCTAAGCAAGAACCAGCAACCAATAACAATGTCATAGAGCACCTATGAGTATTATGAAGTTGTATAAGACACAGATTCTATTTTCATAGATGCCTTATCTAGCTACACACACACACACACACACAAACACACACAAAGAGGGAAAGAGAAGAGTCAAAGAGCAAGACAGAGCAGGCAAAATAAAGATGAATGCACAAAGCAGTATGTGGTTAATTGCCAAAGGGCTGGCATGGACTCCAGACCATAGGGAAGCAGAGCTGAGAGGAGGGTCAGATCAGCGCAGGCAGGACTGGTCTGAAAAGCTTCAACAGAAGACATGTGTTTGAGTAGAAGGGAAGGGAGAAGGAATTCCAAAAGCGGGAGATGGCAGGAACAAAAGCACAGAGGCAGGAAAATGGAGAAACAAGTGAACACAGCCCTTAAGCAGACCCTTCCAATGAAATAAAGATGAACAGAGAAGGAGAAACTGGACAGAAAGAAGAGTGAAAACATTTAATAGTAAACTAGAGGAGTACGAACTTTATTGTGAGATGCTAATGGGAAAGGGGGCAAAAAGGGCTTTTGTTTGCTTGTTTGTTTTTTAATTAAGCTGGTAACTACAGACAACATAGCCCTGGGAAGAGGGATTGGAATCTAGAAGCCCACACTAGGAGGACACGGGGAGGACAAAGGAATGAATGTGAGGCATTTCAAAGCAAGAAGTGATACAGTTAGTATCTGGATGACACATCACAGGTGGGTTGTCTCTCTTATGCTGCTGCTTCTCATTGCCAAAGAGGTCTTGGGAGAATACCTGACCAGCTTCACCTCAACCCCTGATGGGCCCTGTGGCCCTGGTACCAGTTTGCATACTGGTAGTTAAACCAAACACATGACTAGGTATTTATAAAAAGTACTGCCATGGCTTTTTACGCCCACTTGTCTCAAAGACCGAATCATCTTTTCCTATACGGTAATGACTTTATCCTAGACCGAGACTAGAGGTCTAACCTGGCCTTCGAGGCCCGACGGCCTAGACCTGTCCAATACATTAGAAACCAAATCTTAAAATAAAGAGAATGAATATTTTTGCCAGTCAAGAGCTGCCTCCAGCCTCTATAACCGGCTGATCTCACAGGCACCAAGCTCAGGCTCCTGACCCTGCGGGAACTTTCTTAGATATGGTTAGAGTTCTGTGCATACTTTAGAAAACAAGAACAGAATATCTGCATGTAGAAGCATTCAAAATTGAGCTTCTAAAGCCCCCTGGTATGAAGGATAACTCATAGGGTTGCTCAGCTCAGGGAATATTTAGGGATCGACTGACTTGGTTGACGTCCCTTTAAGGACAAAGCTGTAATCTTATCTCAGAGAATTCTGTGCTGGCTGTGGTCTTGGGTGTGTTGACATTATTTCTGAAGTGTTTGGTATGGGTCAAACTCCTGTTCTCAGAAGCCCGGGTGATAACATCTCAGCAGCACCACTGCAGCACTAGTAGTGGGACCTGGGCCTCTTATCTCTCTGCTGATAAGCCCCAGAGGCTTTTCATTCACCAGGCCCCTGTGACACCACAAGTCTCTGTTAAATCCAAGCCTTCAAAACTTAGATTTATCAGTATATGTTGTGTCAGCAGAGCTAGAGGCCCAGCCACATTAACTGTGCCTTGTGTTACTAAGCAAGACGGACGACTGCCTAAGTTTTCTGTTCCACTACGAACCACAGCCTGGCTTTGAGATTCATGAATGCAGATTTTGACTGACCATTCTGCTCCTCTCTCTATCATCTGATTCTGCTTTGGTGCATTCTGTACAAATTAATGGCAAGTGTACAGATTATAAAGTACAAATTAAAAATCAAGAGTATTCTCAATTTTGTTTCAAGTTTATTCTGTGTAAACCATCAGGGCCATTCAACCACAGCCCACATAAAAGAGAACTGAAGAGTTGGAAGCAATCTCTAACTTGTCATCTAGTTAGGGTCCGTATTGAGACAGGACTATTTCTAAATCACTTTGAATGCATGGTTACAAAAAGATGTGGCATCGTTTAGTCTAGAAAATGTGTACTTAGTTTATTGCTACTTCAAAGAATTATTGCCATGTGATGCTCACCCCATCTTTGGAAGATGGCTGCAATGAGCTGTTTGAGAATTTATTCTAGTACCTTTCCGGGCACAACAGCTAACTGACCGATCTGTAACAACTACAACAGTAATACTGTTATCTCACCAAATCTTTCCAAGCTGAGACAGGTACTAAGTATGAGTATCATCTTAGGAAATAGAGTGTTCCAGGAAACCCAGGGTCATCATTAGTGGGGCAGACAGGCAAAATTTAAACCCAGATCTGACTCCACTGCACATATATTTAATCTTATTCCCACATCTGTGTCTACTCCATGAATTCTGTTAGCCTCTATAATTATTGTAAAAAAGAACATCAAGTTGTTAGTCTATGTGACATTTCATATAGACATTTATATATAATTTATATGTTATTAAGTTTCAATGCTGAAAACAATCTCAGTCTCACTAATTTTACAGATAAGGCAATGAAAGCTTGTATATGGGAAATCCATGGTCACAAATTAGTTAGCCATAAAGCTAGGACCAGAATCCAGGCACCTCTACATCTCTCCAGGGTTCCGAACCAATGCTTCCTCTTCAGCCCTGAGGCATTAAAAACTGTCCATAAGATTGGTATCTGGTTTTACGTCACTGGGAAGACAAATGTGTCCTTGGACACTGCAGGAATAAAGTTCCCTGGTATGTCCAACTTGCTTCCTAGATCAGAAAAAATAATATTCTGAGGCTGATTTTACTATGAGATATTTTTATTTTTTTCATTTTGTTTTGGCTGCACCACTCAGCACGTGGGATCTTAGTTCCCCAACCAGGGATCGAACCCTCACCCCCTGCAGTGGAAGCACGAAGTCTTAACAACTGGACCGCCGGGGAAGTCCCACTATGAGATATTTTTCAAATAGAAAAAAATATGGAAAAAATTTAACATCTAAATACCCATCACCTAGATATGATAAGTGTAGACATTTTTGCCATATTTGCTTCAGTTTTTTTAATCTTTCTTTTAATTGAACTATAGTCGATTTACAAAGTTGTGTTGGTTTCAGATGTACAGCAAAGTGATTCAGTTATACATACATATGTGTATATATATACATACATATATTCTTTTTCAGATTCTTTGCCATTATAGGTTATTATAAGATATTGAATATAGTTCCCCGTGCTACACAGTAGGTCCTTGTTGTTTATCTAATTGATATACAGTAGAGTGTATATGTTAATCCCAAACTCCCAATTTATCCTCCCCCATCACTTTCCCCTTTGGTAATCATAAGTTTGTTTTCTATGTCTGTGAGTCTATTTTTGCTTTGTAAATAAGTTCATTTGTATCATATTTTTTTAGATTCCACATGTAAGTGATATCCTATGATACTTGTCTTTCTCTGTCCGAATTCTTTCACTTAGTATGATAATCTCTAGGTCCATCCATGTTGCTGCAAATGGCACTGTCATTCTTTTTTATGGCTGAGTAATATTCCATTGTGTGTGTGTACACACACACACACACACACACACACACACACACACCCCACATCTTTATCCATTCATCTGTCAATGGATATTTAGGTTGCTTCCATGTCTTGGCTGTTGTAAATAGTGCTGCTATGAACACTGGGGTGCATGTATCTTTTCAAATTAGAGTTTTCTCTGGATATCTGCCCAGGAGAGAGATCATTGGATCATATGATAATTCTATTTTTAGTTTTTAAAGGGATCTCCATATCGTTCTCCATAGTGGCTGCATTAATGTACATTCGCACCAACAGCGTAGGAGGGTTCCTTTTTCTCCACATCTTCTGTAGCATTTGTTATTTGTAGACTTTTTCATGATGGCCATTCTGACCAGTGTGAGGTGATACCTCACTGCAGTTTTAATTTGCCTTTCTCTAATGATTAGCGATATTGAACACCATTTCATGCACCTGTTGGCCATCTGTATGTCTTTGGAGAAATGTCTATTTAGGTCTTCTGGCCATTTTTTGACTGGGTTGTTTGGTTTTTTGATATTAAGCTGTATGAGCTATTTCTATATTTTGGAAATTAATCCCTTGTTGGTAGCATCATTCGCAGTATTTTCTCCCAGTCCGTGGTTGTCTTTTAATTTTGTTTATGGTTTCCTTTGCTGTGCAAAAGCTTTTACATTTAATTAGGTTCCATTTGTTTATTTTTGCTTTTGTTTCTGTTATTCTAGGGGAGAGATCCAAAAAAATATTGTTGTGATTTATGTCAAAGAGTATTCTGCACCTATGTTTTTCTCTAGGAGTTTTATAGTGTCCAGTCTTATGTTTAGGTCTTTAATCCATTTTGAGTTTATTTTTGTACATGGTGTTAGAGAATGTTCTAATTTTGTTCTTTTACGTGTAGCTGTCCAGTTTTTCCAGCACCACTTATTGAAGAGACTGTCTTTTCTCCATTGTATATTCTTGCCTTTGTTGTAGATTAATTGACCATAAGTGCATGTGTTTATTTATGGGCCTTCTATCCTGTTCCAGAAAAGGCTCTTGATAAAATTCAACATCCCTTTATGATAAAACTCTCTCCAGAAAGTGGGCATAGAGGGAACATACCTCAACATAATAAAGGCCATATATGACAAACCCACAGCCAACAACATACTCAACAGTAAAAAGCTGAAAGCATTTCCTCTAAGATCAGCAATAAGATAAGGATGCCCATTTTCACCACTTTTATTCAACATAGTTTTGGAAGTGCTAGTCACAGCAATCAGAGAAGAAAAAGAAATAAAAGGAATCCAAATTGGAAATGACACGATGCTTA